CATGAAATTGGACATCCACAGAGCTTTCGACACGGTGAATTGGGGGTACTTGCTAGAGGTCATGCAGGCGCTGGGCTTTGGGCCACGCTGGCGTGAATGGGTTTCTATCCTATTCCGCACATCCTCCTCGTCTACACTGCTCAATGGGCGACATGGTCCCAGCTTCAGCCATGCCAAAGGAGTCCGACAGGGAGATCCACTTTCACCCATGCTCTTCATTCTGGCCATGGACCCGCTACAGCGCTTACTTGATCAGGCAACCCAACACGGGATACTCACCCCCTTACCCCTTACGGCAGCAAAATGGAGGACCTCCATGTATGCAGATGATGTGGCTATTTTCATCAACCCAAAATTAGAGGATGTAGAAGCTCTCAAAATTATCCTCCAAGCCTTCGGCAGCTTCTTAGGACTACACATCAATTTAGAAAAAAGCTCCGTGCATCCAATCCGGTGTGAAAATATAGACCTTGACCATGTCCTGTCACCCTTTATCGGTACAAGGGGCGCCTTCCCCTGCAAGTATCTGGGGATGCAACTCCACACCAGATCACTTAAGAAAGTCCATGTCCAACCTCTCATTGAGCGAATTCAGCAAAGGTTGCCCAAATGGAAAGGGCGATGGTTGAACAAAGCGGGACGCCTTACACTAGTCACTTCGGTCCTCTCCTCCATGCCAACCTACCACATCACGGTGTTTCCCTTGGCAGCATGGGCTAGAAGAAAGATTGATAAAATTAGGAGATCGTTCCTTTGGAAGGGGGAAGATAACGCAAATAGCGGACACTACTTGGTCAACTGGCCAACAGTTATCAGACCCAAAGACCTAGGAGGTCTGGGGGTGCCTGACCTTGACAGATTTGGAAGAGCTCTCTGGTTACGCTGGTTGTGGCAGGAATGGGTGGAGGATTCCAAGCCATGGCTAGGCTCTGAACTCCCATGTAGTGATGTGGATCGCCTCCTTTTCAACGCTTCGATCAAAATTTCTTTGGGTGATGGCGCAAAGACGCTTCTGGCACCACAATTGGTTAGAGGGGGAAGCTCCAAGGTACCTAGCTCCAAACCTATTTCGGCTTGTTTCAAGAAAGAACCGATAGGTGCAACATGAACTCTAGAACAACAATTGGATGCGTTCGCTAAGGGGAAAGATCACCTCGGCTGTCCACATTGAAGAATTTGCGTCCCTTTGGATACGAATTCAGGATGCTCATCTGCAACAGGGCGTTCGGGACTCCATCACCTGGCGATGGACCCCGGATGGGGTTTACTCCACCCATTCAGCTTACCGAATCCAATTCCAAGGTTCATTCCGATTTTTCCGTGCTAACATAATCTGGAAAGCACAGGTAGAGAACAAATGCAAGATCTTTGTCTGGATTCTAGTGCAGGACAAAATTCTCACGCACAAAACCTACAAAAGAGAGGGTGGCCACATCAAGATCACTGCGTGCTTTGCAACGGGCCCTTAGAAACCGTCCTACACCTTTGTTTGTGCTGCCCATTTACAAAGGAGGTCTGGGACCAAATCCTCTCTTGGGAGAACTTCAGTGTGCTGCAGTCACAGCCTCAGGGGGACCCCGTCGAGATCAGAGCATGGTGGGAAGAAGCAGCAAAAAAAGTGCCAACCACCGAACGCAGACGGCTCAATGGGGTAGTGATCTACACATTTTGGAATAATTGGAAAAATAGAAACAGGAGAATTTTTAACAATACCGCAGAGGCGGTGCCAAAGTGGCCGCAAGAATCAAAGAGGACATAGAGCAAAGGAAGAGGGCTTTCGCTTACACTTAACAATCTCCCTTCTCTAACCACAAGGAATGTGTTTTCGTGGTGTTTTCATGGGCACCTGGGATCCTTAATACCCTTTTCGGAGTGTCTTCCTCCTTATACATAAACCCTCTTTCCCTATCTTAATCGAAAGACAGCTCCTGCCGTTGCGTTAAAAAAAATGCAATGTCCTGTAATAGCGTTTCGTCCCTGTCTAGACCTTTAAGTAGTGTGGCATGGATGCTATCTGTTTTGTGTTTTCGCGTTATCATAAACTGGTATCACCAGTATGTAAAAATCTTATTGCTTTCTTAAAAGCAGAGGTAATCTCCTTTCAAAAAAAAAAAGGGGAATGCAATGCTGACAGGACGGCAGCAAAAATCAGACAGATAAAAAACCGGTACCTGTCAGGTTGCAGTAACCAAATTTTCCATGCTTTGCTTCTCTCCCCATCTCCGTACATGAACAGAGGTGATCCAGACTAGTGGTACTCCAAACCTGAAAAAGTGGACAAATATGCATAGATGACATAGAAATGCATACTATATTGCAAGATGGAATCACTAATCATACCACAAACTAAGCGTATTCGGGTATAATATGGTTCTATGAAGGCTCAATATATTCGAATCCAACCAGATTCTGTAATCAGGGTACAATAATTCACATCTTAATCCAACCAGATTATGTAACCATGCTCAATATATTCCATGAGGCCACAAAAACAGACAGCTGGTATGCAAATTCCCAGCAGTGGACCTTCCTGCTCTTCACCAATAACTCAGGATCAATAAGATGGAAGTTATATGATGAGGACCATTGCAAACTTAAAGAATGCACAAGGTGTCCATCTTTGTGCAGAAAACGTCACATCATAATTTTCACAACTGCATGATTCATACCATGCATCATCGAGCAGATGTCAGCCATCTACTATTCCCGAGTTGCAGAAATAACACAGTCAACACTTGATCCCTGAATCTGATGACCTCTTTCAGCTGCACCTTCTTGAATGACAAAATGGAGGAAAATAGGAGTATTCAGTATAAATTTCCTGGGAAATTGAGACTTTGATGAAGATGCAGAAATGTCCACACAAAAAACCAAAGATTCAGAAATGAAATACTCTGTATAATCAGTGCAAATTTAATGCATAATCACGCCCAGACGCAAGGGAAATGCCAAGAGTAGTCTGATGCTACAACAGAAATACCAGTGCTTCACAAGACAGATTTTTTAAAGGCTTTAAGCCCTCGACACAGGAAAGGTCAAATTGCATTAAAGAAAAGCACATCAAAGGTCAAACATGTAATCTGTAAAATTGCTTATCAGCTAGACAGCTACTGGGTTTTAAATTTCAGTGCAAGTTACCATAAACTCTGCAACACATCCACAACTATATCTACAACCTATATAGCTCTAAGCATCTCCTCATTTCTGACATACAAGCTTCAGCACTCAGTATTGTGCTGAGTAAAGGAATTGCAGAAATACCATGAAAATTTTGAATACAGCCATCTCCTTTAGCTGCACTTATCTGAATAATAGAATTACATAACATATATACTCAGCAGAAACTGCCTGAGAAATTTGGAACTAGGGAGAAAATGGGTGGATGTACTGTATCAATAATTTTGTATTTCAAACTATCTCCAAAACAATGAAAAAATAGAAATCAATGCTCTGATGAACAACCTGAACAACTTTAATACTTTACCATGCTTCTTTTAATATTCTTTTCAGATGAAAGGGAGGCTCCAAAATTCTGATGTCACAAGAACTTCACACGACAGAAATCTCACCACACTATATTGAAATAAGTAGCCTATAAATTTGCAAGAGTACAGAACAATAAAGCCATATACTAGCAATGAAAAAATAAACAGGGTTCTTCAGTTTTGTTGTACATTTTCACAAGTTCTGCACAAGCACACAGGGAACTATATCTGTTATCTAAGACCCTGTGTTGTTCTAAGAAATACATGTATATCACTATGAATTTCATCTCCAGTCTAGGCCGTCTTGCAAGAATGAACCACAGCTGCTGTGCAGTTCAAGAGTTCATCTTTTTTAGAGTTCCGGAGAGCCAAATAGGACAAGTCTTTACATCAGTTTTTTAGGTTCAGGCTCTGCACCCAACCAGGGAAATATCAATCACATAGCGCAGATTTCCAGTAGACAATGCAAACAATTTACTGGACACACCTGTTAGGTTCATGAGTTCATTCAGAGGAAGTCAGAAACATTTGTACAGTTGTCATAACCATGGTTTCCTTTTTCGGCCGAAATCTCCTGATATTTCCGATATATCTTTTTTATCCGTAGGTGCCGATAAGAAAATATCTATCTTTTTCGTACAAATTTTGTTTAAATTTATTTAAATTTACTTAAATTCAAATTAAATTTTATTTGAATTTGGTCCAATATTTTCGATATATTATGTTTATCCTCTTTATCTGTGACCCCCGATAAATTTTAATTTCCGAAAATGAGAACCTTGGTCATAACCAACATCTCTGCTACCCTCTATAACAGAAGCTTCGAAAAACGTCTAATATGATCATCTTTTACATTGTTCAATTACTTGTTTTGTGGTAGTGTAATCTTGAATCTAACCACCTCCTTCAGCTGTACCTGCCTGAATGAAAGGATTAAGGAAAAATATTCAGTACAGACGGCCTGGTAAGTTACTCAGAATAACATACAGCCTTCTGTTTACCGTTTTCCATAAAAGGAAGCACCAAAAAACCATGTCACAACCGAAATGAACATCACAAATCATATATCTCATCACATGAGAGTCAAATTTGCTTTTCAGTCACAGAATAACATACAGCAATAAAACAAAAGGAGGGTTGTTCTCCAATTTGTTGCACATTAACATAAGTTCACTATCTTTACATGTTTCAAAAAAAACAGGAAGAAGAAGCTCAGCATGATCAACACTCAGGAATCATATCTAACATACAATGTAGCTCAAGCAGCAATAGGACCATCTAATCTAAATAAACATCGAATTTTACATTACAAGACATTATGTCTGAACTTGTTTCTACCTTGTAAATTTCAACTCTAGTCCCAGTCATTTTGGAACTAAGTGCCTTGAAACATACAGCTGCTGAGCAGAACCAGTTCATTGACACACTAACGTATATATAGATGCCCCTAAAAAAAACTGTATATATAGATGCCATTATCTAGACTATATCTCTGAATCCAGTAAATTAAAGCAGCTAAGAATCCGAGATAGCATCAGCTGCAGCCCGTGTCGACATTGCATAGAGTATGCGTCCCTTCCACCCTCCCAGGAGCCACTGAAGATCCACATCAGTGACAAAGTCCTCATGAAATTTGTCCCTGACACTCTCCTGCAGGGCCTTGACAATATCGGGATCCAATGACAGCTGTCTCAACCCTGCACGGTAGTTCCGCAACTGCCACTTCTTATATGTCTCAGGGCGCTCGACCCTGTCCAAGCCTTCACAAGCGATGACATTCTGGGCACACTGACCAAAGAGATCACGCTCAACCAGAACACGTAGATCACTATCCCGTGGGGTCGTGACATCCATCATGTCAAACATTGCAGAGTAGTGGAACAGCGCCTCCCGGAACCGCGGTACAAAATACGGTGAGCTGTATGTGCCATTCATGATGAAAAGGATGAACACATCTGGTCGCATCTTCCGGATGTTGCTGAGAACAACATCTCTCGGGCTTGGCCAACTCGTGTCGACACACTACTGGAGGCGGGCTCTTTGCCGAGTGCCAAATTTCGGGCGCTCGGCAAAGGCTTTGCCGAGTGCCGTGCGGGCACTCGGCAAAGATTTGACACCGTCGGCCGACGGCCGATGCCGTCTAATTTTTCTTTTAAACTCTTTGCTGAGTGCCACAGCTCCGGCACTCGGCAAAGAAATCTGTTTTTTTAAACCTCTTTGCCGAGTGCCACAGCACCAGCACTCGGCAAAGGGTGTTTTTTATTTATTTTTTAAAATTTTCTTTGCCGAGTGCAATGACCATTGCACTCAGAAAGCGTGTTTTTTATTTTTTTTTTAATTTTCTTTGCCGAGTGCAATGGTCATTGCACTCGGCAAAACCACCTCTAAATTTCTTTTTTTTTTGTTTTTTGCTTTTCCATTTAAACAACAATGCATATATATATAATAGAAACCACAATTCAACAGCAATAAATTAGATAGCCATATTTATATATTACAAACAACCAAATTTGTCTAAAATCCACAATTTATTACAAACCACAAGTTCATAGTCCACAAGTTCACAAGTTCGATACATAGAAACTACTCCGCAAGCGGCTCACGGCGACTGCGCCCCAGCGTGCGATCCCGGCGACGGTCTGGGTGCGGATGACTCGACTTGCGATGCCGGCGACCCTGCGACCTGGTTCGACGCCGCCCCCGATGTCCGCTGCACAAAAAAGAAGATATTGTAGTGAGTGACAAGATAAAAATGTAAGGAGTTTAAAGAAAAGTTGAAAATTTCAGCAGCACCTCCCCTGCACGGGGACGTTTCCAAAACCTACAAGAAAAACGTCGGCAAGAAGGCCGACAACCACATTTCCGGCACGAAGGCCGACACATCAACTAACCCGGCACGAAGGCCCACACATCAACAAATCCGGCACGAAGGCCATCTCTAGGTTTGACACTAAGCATGAGCACAGAAAGTAAAACATACTCACCAGAGTAGACTGTGGTGGTGGCTGTGGTGCAAGCAGGTGTAGTGGGATCTGCCAACCTTGTTGCTCCCCATGTTGTTGCACGAACCTGAGCAAACTTTCTTGCTGGGCCTCAATAGCTTGTAGCCTCTGACGCTCGGCCTCCCGCTCGGCCCGCTCAGCTTCCTGGGCCTCCTGCTGGGCCCAAAGTTGCTGCAGCTCGGCCTGCAACATTTAACCCCAATGTTTCAATATTGCAGAGCTAAGGAACGTAAAAGTCAAAGAACGACGAATGAAACTCAAATACTTACCTGGAGTGCCGCCACCGTTGTCGGCCATTGGCTTATGGGCATGCTAGAGCTCGTGCTCGCTGCTCGGAGGCAGTTCAGAGGAGGAGTAGAGCCCGTGTTGAGGACGCCGTCGCCAAGCCAGAAACGCCCATGCTTCTTGCCTTCCCCCACCCGCATCACGATCTTAGGATCAAGGCGCTCCTTGGTCCTCGGATCGTAGGCTGGCCCGTGGACTGACCTTGCCGCCTCCTAGTAAGAAGTGAGGCGGGTGTGGACGCTGGAGTTGGTGTATGCCTCTGGGCCCGTATCCGGGTTGTACTCGATGTTGGACCTTGCCGGGCCCATGTGGGCCAGAGCATACGCCGTGAGTTGGCCAATTGGCTGGCCACCGTGTGCCGCCGACTGCGAGAAAGACAACAACATGTGGTTAGAAATCATGCAGAATTGAGCGCGGCTAGATTAGACAAATGGTGCAGACTTATATATGTCTTTGCATACTTGCTGAGGCTAGCGCTGCCCTGATGGTGAGGGGCACCTGGCATCAGCGCTCGTTGGTCGCTTTTCTCCTGGTGCTCCTTCTGCCAGTCCACGTCCAGCCATTTCTCCACTATAGCAGCCCAGCAATCAGGGTGGGTGGCACACCAGCTTGGAATCGCCTACAAGCCATCAGAAGATCAAATTAGGCATAGTTAACCTCAAAATAAATCAACAGGAGATGTTTTCTATTTACCTGTAGGTACTGCTCCCTTGTCAGAATCTCTATCTGTCTCCTCGCCTGTGTTTTGTTGATTCTTCTCTTATGGTAGGTGGCGTTGTAGTCAACGTGCGCCTGGAGGCGGGCCTCGTAATACAAGTCCGAGATACGCCTTTTACAGGAAGCGTAAGCCACCTGATACGCCCTTGCCTCCGGGCCCGGCTGGCATCTGAAGAAGTCCTGCATAAAGACACGAGGTATCCATTATTTTATTTGAAGAATGTCCAATGAATGCAATGAATGCAATGAATTGAGGCTTACCCACAACTCCGAAATCACCCGATCCGCCAAGTTTCTGTGCGGAGCATCGGTGGCGACGAGGGCGTAGTGGTCGAACGAGGGTACCTCTGGGTCCTGATCCTCTGACGTCCACACCAGGCCAGGGAAGTGTTCCTTGCACAGAAGTCCTAGGATCCCAATGACATTGTGAGCCGGGACCCCCTCCTCCACAAGCATCCAGTTCCTGCACAAGTGAACCCATTGACATTAGCTCTTATTATGATTTTCAACAAATCAAATGAAGAACATATGAAGTTACTTACTTATCCCCCTCGGGTGCAATCAGTGGGCGGCGTTCGGGTGCAATCGGTCGCTTCGGGAGCTGGCTGGGACCTCGCAAGTAGGGTTTCGAGGCTGAAGAGGAAGTCAAACCCCCTCCCCCCTTCTCGGACGTGTGCGGAACCCCCTCTTCAGACGCATGCGGAACAGCGGCGTCGTACATCTACGGACCCGCATCCTCGCCCACCGTGGGCAGAGGGACGTCGTCATCCCTAGAAGTGTGCGAGGAGCCAAGGTCGTGGTCAGTCGACGGCTCCCGCCTGGGCCTACCCCTCGACCTCCTCTGCCTCTCTGACGTCTCTGCCTCCATGTCCTCAGCCGGTGGCGTGTTCCACGATCTCGAGTAAGTCGACTGACACCTCCTAGTGGGCCCCATCACCTGCAATTAAAAAGAATAAACTAGTATTAGTACAGATAAACGAGAAGTACTTAGCAAGGGATGCAAAATAAAGAAAATGTAATTACAAAATAACATAGTATTACATGTATTTCTAATATTCTTCATGATCGGGATTATCTGGACGATAGGTATCATCATCACTATCAAGAGCCTCCAAATCGTCAACAGCCTCATCCTCATCGCTATCATTGTCAAGTACAAGTCCGTCAAGCATTTTGGCCGCTCCACTTGATCTCCCGCATTGCCCTTTGAATAGGCTGAGGGTCGATTCATTTTCATCCTCGTTGTAACGAGGGGGTGGGTTATGCACGCTAGGAAGCTTCTCACTATAGTACAATGTTGTGAAGTTTGACACCTCCTCACGAATGAATGCCTCTGCTATGGAAGCCTCAATCCTGCCTTTGTTTCCACATTTCTGGCGAACAGTCTTTAGACATCTCTCGATTGGATAGCACCAACGGTTCGCAAGACAGCCCCCCCATTCGTGCACCTCGCTCGGGAGGTGCAAAATCAAATGTCGATCGACAAGAAAAAGCCAGGTGGAAAGATCTTCTCCAACTTACGAGCAACTCGGGTGTCGTTTTTCCAACTCCTCAACCACTTTCGAGAGATATCTCCTTGGCACAAAGTGGCGGAAGAAAAACTCAACTCGCCAAAGACCTTTCGAGACATGCTCGGGGACGTAGCCTCGAACCATCGACGGAAGAAGCTGCTCAATCCATATGTGGAAGTCATGACTCTTCATCCCTAAGACTCGCCATGATCTGGGTTCGCTCCCTCCTCGATTCGCCGCAAACCCATCGTGGAAACTTAACGTCTGCATCCATTGTATCGTTCAGTCCTGTGCTTCTTTTCCAAGACGAATCGGCCTTAGGCCTTTTCCATGGTTTGTCGTCTCTTGGAGGCAAGATCTCGCAGCTTTGGTCCAATCGTGATAGTGTTGCCATGTCTACTCCGCCTTAGGGTTGTCCTTTGTCTTGTCAGAAATGTCCATGAGTGTTGCCCAAAGTGCTTCGGCGACATTCTTCTCAGTGTGCATTACATCTATGTTATGTGGAAGGAGAAGGTCATCAAAATAGGGAAGCCTCTCCAATCCCGACTTATGAGTCCACATATGTTCCACACCATAGCCCACAAAGCGATCTTTGTTTGGATTATCTTTCTTTGGATTAACTTTCTTTCTTTTACCCTTCTTTGGATTATCTTTCTGCGCCGAGAGCACGAGAGCATCTATCTGAGCATGAACCTGGGCACTAGTCATCTTCTGAGGTGCAGGGTCGGTCACCGTAACACCTTTCGTGAAGTTCTTGGTGTCTCCTCTAAATGCATGGTCAAGAGGGAGGAACTATCGATGCTTGTCGAACGACGAGAACTTCCCACCCTTCTTCAACCAAATGAACTGTAGAGCTGCCTTGCATACCGGGCATGGAAACTTCTCGTGGACACACCAGTCGGCGAATATCCCATACGCCAGGAAGTCATGCATGGAGTACTGGTACCAAACATACATTCTGAAGTTCTTCTTTGTAGCTCGGTCGAAAGTCCATATGCCTTCATTCCAAGCCTTGATCAATTCATCATAAACAGGCTGCATGTACACACCCATTTTATTTCCCAGGTGTCCAGGAATTATCAATGTCAAGAATATGTTTTGCCGTTGAAGTAGGGCCCTGGGGGAGAGATTGAGGGGAATAGCGAACACGGGCCAACAAGTGTATGGGGCCGACATCATTCCATAAGGATTGAACCCATCCGTTGCCAGCGCAACACGTACATTACGGGCCTCTTCATCTTTGCCACGATGGTTGCCATTAAAGCTTTTCCATGCTTCACCATCTGCTGGATGTACCATCTTATCAGGATTGTATCGAATGTCATTCTTGTGCCATGTCATCTGTTTCGCGGACTCCTCGGACATGAATAGCTGTTGGAGCCTCGGTATGATCGGAAGGTGTCTTAGGACTTTCATGGGGATGTCCTCATTCTACTCCTTCTTTCCATCA